TTGTGGGAGTCCTTCTGACAAATTTCTAAGCCTTTAATGCTATGTTTTTTTAAAGAAAAACATAGTTTATAGATTAAACAAGGTTTTACAATGATCATATATGTTGCACCAAAAACAAATGATGAAGTAGGTCTAATTGCATAATGTTATTGAGAAATTGAATGTGAACTAGAAACAAGTTAGATGTTCATGTTTTATAAGCATTTAAATTGAATTTCTTTCACTTGTTTAAGAGTAAGGATATACACATTCTAAATGTTGAATATTTTTCTTTAAATATATTTAAATGTTAATTAATTTTTCAAAAGATATTTAATTGTCATTCTTTTGGTTAAAAGATTACTTTTCTATAAATGAAATAATTGACAATACCATTAACCATTAGATGAGCCTATTTTTAAAAGTTTTTCAATCAATTTTTTTTAATCTTGGATTAAAAACTTGTTTTCTTAAACAATAGGACGTTACACACTTAGGTTTATATGTTATATAAAGATGTTTTCACTAATTTATATAAAGATTATTGTAAATGAAAAACACAATAAATTAGGTAATTAATAACTAATGATATTTTTTTCTTTTTAAGAAAATGAATAACCAGTCTGACTTTGATAAATGTTGATTATAGTAAAGAGGAGATTGAATTTTTTGTTTAGTTTGGAAAGACATGGGTCATTATACCTGTCAATTTGGTTCTATGGTATGGTTTGATCCTGATCCACATGGGTTAGAGTTAGAAAAATTTACAAAATCAAAACTTCTGCATTGAAAAAATTCAAAGAGCCAAAGTATATCCAAAAGTCTTATGGGTCCTGACCAACCTAAGAATCTTCTTTCTAAAAAATTATTCATTTTGAATATAAGAAAAAAGACAATTAACTTCTAATTTGTTTCAAATCTAATTACTTTTAATTTGTCAAAGAATATATACCAACAATCACCTTATACAACTCCAAATCCATAAATGATACTTTGATACATATAATTTTTTTACATTTATTTAATATTATCATTCTTTATTTTTTCTCTCTCCAAAAATATACAAATTGTCTCGTTTATGATTACTTTACCTTTATAATGTCTCTGAAATGAATATAAAATGAATATAAAAATATATCACTTTCCTTCTCCAAATATAAGAAAGCAGAAACATTAATTAAACAATCGGAGAACACAAATTCACACATTTTTTTCAGAGTAAAATCTTTTTACATAAGTTCTTGTTATTTTTAATATAAGAAATGCACTTTAAATATTGACGGTAATTATAATATATAAAATTAATTTTGTTTCGGTGCCAATTTAATTAACTAAAATAAATATATTAACGTCAACATAAAAAGTTAATTAAAATAAATATTCATCCATATAAAACGTTAATCAAAATAAATAATTTAATTCGCTTTAACAAATATTAAAAATAACTAGTTAGTGCTAGTTTAAACATTAATTAAAAGGAATATTGAAAATAAATAGAGTTAGTAAGTAAAGATTACAAAATGTATATTAAAATAAGATTATAAATTCAAACATAGAAACTCGTATAGTTTCTTACAGCTTTCTTTCTCTTATAAAAATAAGATATAAATATCTATTTTATGATTAATTTTTCATCAAATAAATGTGATTGACAATATAAGATAAAAAAACATTATACTCTATAACAACATTTATTAAAATAAAACAAATATTCTTAATACGGTAATAACATATATCCAACCAAAAGATAATGTTAGTTTATTTTCCTTTTCGTTTCATCTTTTTATAAAATATCAAATTAACATTATTATATCCGTTTTTCTTTCAACATGTTTATCTTAAAAACATTGAATAACAGAAAAAAAAAACTGAGTGTTTAATAAGTTTTAAATTCTATCTTCACAAAAATTCATTCTAATATAAATTGATTCTGATATATAATTCATAACATATATTATTATCATTGCAAATTAATAAATAAATTATAGTTGGTATTAAATTATATATTATATATTTTATTCGCTAACATAATAATAAATATAATATAAAAATATTAAAATATATAATATATTAAACTATTTAATAAAATATATAATTTATATATATATATATATATATATATTAAAAATAATTAAAATTTTGTAATAAAATCAAATCTATTAGGAGAGGACTTTGTGGGTTGCAATTTCTTTTGACCCCAACTAAAAGAACTTCCTAAAAAGAATTTTTTCAAAAATAGATTAAAATTGATCATAAACCATGAGTTAAATTGACCCCTTTATAGATCATTATGTAATAAACACATAAATCTACACTTTCATATATTAATTTTTTTAAAGAAAATTAATTTTTCTTCTAATAAATGCATAGCTTTACAAGAAAACAACTTTTAAAGAGGAAGAAAACGCTAATAGCATAGTATTTTGACTGAGGGTTACTCCCTACACCATACTACATTCCTCTTTACACCACCACATTTTTTTAAAATTTCAAAACTATCCTTTATATTTTAAAGGTTTAATCATTTAGAACATCCTTATTTTTGTAGGGTTTTCTCAATTAGGTCCTTGTATTGTAAAATCTCTCAATTAAGTCCCTGAATGTGAAAAATTGGATCAATTAAGGGCTTGTCGTTAATTTGAATGGACGACGTTAAAATTGAGCGTGCGTGGCAGGATGACATTACTGACGTGGCAGTGTACGGTTTACTGAGTTGGATTTGTTTGATTTACAAATTAAATTTTATTGAAATAAAATGATTCAAAACACAACGTTTAAATAAAAAACAATTAACAAATGATTAAACATTTCCTAAATCAGACTCCATTTAGAACCCTAATTTATAATTTGCAGAGAACCCTAAATAAGTTATCTTTGTATCGCATATGGTTTCTGCCAGCATTCTTGGTTTTTATCATAACTAGAATCCTTTTGAAACCCTAAATTTGAGAAATGGCACCTTTTTTTTGAACCGTAAGAAAATTCTCAATTTTCTAGGTTTCCTTCTTCTATGTGTGGGAGAACCACATCGAGAAGCTTCTTCTTTTCCCAGGTTCAGCTCGTGCAGATGCAGGCAATGGCAAAACTCTTTCACTCGCAGATCTGGTATCGCGTTCACGCTGCAAAAACCATTTGTACATGCGTCTGTCCCCTCACCAGCTTGCCAAATTAATTATGGTGGACAACTATACGTTTCAAATTCAAATTGAACTATACATTTCAAATTCAAATTGTTATTTTCTATCAAACAATTCAAATTAAATATTCTGTTTCCTTTTTTTTCTGACTAATATCTCTTCAAAATCAAGCACGTCAGTCAAATTCAAACCGTCATGCTCTTCAGCGTTCATAAGTGGTACTCCATGAAATTCCTTTTTCTGGTTGCTTTCTTTCTTCTCCGGTGCTTCCATGGAGGAGCGACTTCCTTTGGTTCTCGCTGGTGGAGATGTGAAAGCTTCTTCGTTCTTGCTCTCCTCAGGCAGACGTTTCATTTCTGGGATTTCAGTCTTCCAATTTAGGGTTTTATTCACATCCCTTCTAATTTTCCAAATTCCCCCAAATAATTAAAACGGTCTTCACTTAATTAAAACGCAACGTTTTTATTTGTTAACTGTTTTTTACTTAAACATTGCGTTTTGAATCATTTTATTTCAATAAAATTTAATTTGTAAATCAATTTTAACTCAACTGACCATACATTGCCACGTCAGTTGATCATACACTGTCCTGTCAGTAATGTCACCATGTCACGCATACTCAATTTTAAAGCCGTCTACTCAAATTAACGACAAACCCTTAATTGATCTAATTTTTCACATTTAGAGACTTAATTGAGAGATTTTACAATACGAGGACTTAATTGAGAAAACCTTGCAGAAATAGAGATATTCTAAATGATTAAACCTATTTTAAAATATCCTACACCCCCATTTCTTTTCTTCAACGGATCTGCCACATCTGTTAATGGATGTGGCCACATCTGTTGAGGATTTCATTTTTCTTTTTAGTTTTTAGTTTATTAATTTATTGTATTTTAAATTAATATATAAATAATATTTAATTTTTTTTAAATTTATTACGTAATTATATATAAATTAATTTTATTTAATAAAATCATTATTATTAATTTAATTATTTATTATTATTTAAATAATTATTTAAATATTTTTTATAAATCTACTTAAACGGATGTACGGATGTGGCGACATTCGTTGAGTTTTTTTTTTGTTTTTTTTTATTTTAGTTTTAAATTTATTAATTTATTGTATTTTAAAATTTATGTATAAATATTATTTAATCTTTTTTTAAATTTATTACCTAATTATATATAAATTAATTTTATTTTATTTAATAAAATAATTATTATTATTTAAATAACTATTTAAATATTTTTTATAAATCTACTTAAAAGGATGTGTCACATACGGATATGGTGATATCTGTTAAGGTTTTTTTGTTTTTTTTAGTTTTTAGTTTATTAATTTATTGTATTTTAAATTAATATATAAATATTATTGATTTTTTTAAAATTTATTATGTAATTATATATAAATGAATTTTATTTTATTTAATAAAATAATTATTATTAATTTAATTTATATATTATTATTTAATAAATTAGTTAAATAATTTTTATAAAATTACTTAAACAAAAGTGGTCACATCCGTTAAGATTATTTTTTTTTAAATAAAAGCAATAAACTAAAATATAAAATATATAAATAGATATCAAGATCCGTTGAAGATGAAACGAATGTTGACATCTATTTTATAACAAGGATAAATTAGTTATGGAATAGTGCAGGTAATATTTGGTGGTAATAGAGGAAGCAATAGTCTTCTAACTATTATAAGAAAATAATATTTCCATCTCCACACTCCAAAAATATATGGTTGGCCCTAATTCTTGGGTGGTGTTAAAATAAAAAGAAAAAGATAAATCCCTACTATGTCAAAGACATAAGCTTATATATTTATAAATAAAAAATCCAAAAAAAATAATTAAGCATGTTACATTTAAATTAATCACAAAATTATATTTAACAATGTCTAATATATTTTAATCATATCTACATGTAGATTATTTCCCAAAATACAATCAGATTTGGTCAATCACATGCACAGCTTTAGCGAAAGTTATACTAGTCAATCCAACCGCATAGAGATACAACATTTACTTCTTTTGTATTTGTTCAACAATGTTCAAATTGGGCATTGCTAAAGTACTCTTCAGAAAATATCAGAATGTATGGCATCTCATTTTATTCTGGTCCTACTTTGGTTGTCATAAAGTTGATGAATGCCCTGCATTGCATCCAAATTTAGTAGCAGCAATAAATGGGAAGTACACCGGAGCTTAAACTGAAACAAGCAGAAAAACACATGTTGCACTACAATTTGAGAAAGTATGTAATCCAATCTATTATAATTGTAAAAAAAACTGACATATACCTTCTACAAGCAGCAATAAATGTAGAGACCTGAAATAAATACTTAAATCCCATCTAGAAATAGCAGTGAATAAGAGACTTCAGCACCTCAGCCAGTCTCGGAAATAGGATTGCATCTTTTCTCGATTAGCAGCATTCCCAACATTCACAGTTGGAATGATCTTGTCAGGTCTCAAAAACTGTGAAGATAAAGATAAATTCACTCAAAAAGGAGAACTAAACAATGCATTTTTGTCAAAATCATTAAATAAATTAACATGTCTCGGTGAAAGTAATCACAATATTCAGTTCCAGACCTGAACAAAATCTCGCAGTTCTGTATAGCTGGAATGCTCACTGTAGGGAACTCCTGGAAGAAGAAACGGGACTTGTGAAGTGTGCTGCAATGGTGGATAAATAACTTGCTACTTCCATACCTTTTAAGAATTAGTTTTTAATAATTTGTTTCTTATTTATCAATTTAAAATTCAAAACAAAATTAATCATCTTGTTGCATATAACTTTACCTTCCTTCCCCTAGTTTTAAGTACACATTTATCACGGAGTTAAAGGAAGAGAAGAGGAAAATATTAAATGAGGGAATGAATGAATTAATAATACAAGTAAAATAAAAAATTAATAGCAATTTTGATAAGAATGACAACGTCAATTATATTTCTTAAGTAACAGACATGAACAAAATTTTAAAGGCCTGTTTGACATCCAATGACTACTACTGAGCATTTCAGCATCTCAAATCATATCGTTACTAAAGAAACACTATACCCGGTCCACAACACTTCAGTCCAGTGCATTTTCAATACAAATAAGTACTAATTACACTTCATATTTTATAGCAACCGAAATGCAGTTAATCTTACCATAAATCGTGATATTTCCTTTGGTAACAGGTTTAATTAGTTCCAGATCGTTGCTTATCTTTTCATTGAAAGTCCAACCTAAAATTTTGAAGGAAGAAGTATAAGACACTTAATTAAGCGGCACAAATATCTTCTCTGTTGACAACTTAAAATACCAAGATGATTCGGAGGTCAATGTTATCACAAGTATTTGTAAAATACCTGTTGGACGGAACGCCAAAACTTCTGTGAATTGATCCTTGTATGTCTTCAAGTAATCTTTTAAGGTCTAAAGTAACAAGTAAAAACATGATGGTGAATTATGATATACAAAACAAAATTTTAAGAGGGCGGCGCAAAACTAAACCTCAGGTCTCAAAGATGACATGGGCAGGACATGGAGAAGCGTGTTCTTTCCTATTGTACAGAGTCTATCTGAAAGGTCGGACCAATCAAAAGCTTGTAAAATCCGTCTTCTTGAAGCATTGGCATAAATTTTTACCTGAATCATAAAAAAATGCATAGATATTGCGTCACTGGATCAAACAACCTAAGAGGAGACAACATGGCAACTTAAAGCTACTTTTATCAATTCAGGGCAGAAAACAGTCTAAACCCATGAAGAGGAACCTCATAAATCTACCACAAAGTGCCATAATTGTTGTTTGCCAATAATGCAAGGTTGGAAACACATTTACGCAAAAATTTTGACATTGCAGAAGGATGAAAAAAAAAACAAGCGAAAACTTCAAAATCATCAATAATATCGATTAGATCGTCATGAAGACAAACCAATCGCTCAGGTACCAATATATGATAGGTCTGAACTCTGAAGGATTAAAGAAATAAAGTGAAAACTTCAAAACCATCAGCTATATCTAGATTAGATCGTCATAAAGAAAAACAATCCCTTAGTTATCAATATATGCTTTTGATTTCGTAGCACAACCCTTCTTGTCAACAACAAGGACAATTGAAAAAAAAAACCAAAACCAGTCCAAATAGAAGTCTGCCCCGGAAAAACACATACCCCAAGAGCTTTAGAAATTGCAAGATATACACATTCTTTGCCAATACTGTAAGCCCCAACGACCACTAAAGTTCTCTGATGAATTTTGAGATGGTTCTTTGTAATTTTGACAACATAATTTAGTACATCTTCCTTGGAAGGGAACCTGAACCAGAAATTTTTTAACAATCAGTCGAGATTAGTAAAACCAATTATTACATATCATAACCAAATTACAAGACCTGTACATAAACCAGAACTTACCTGTACTTTGGATTGCAATATGTAGTATCCAAATAAAGTACATTTACACGTTGATTTACAAGAAGACGGTAAGCTTGCATTGGTTTACACGCTCTAAAGTCCCCAGTGTGCAAATAACGTTGGTCATTTGGGAGGCTAAAGTGAATCAAAGCCGCACCAGGGCAATGATTAGCTTCTAAAAAAGTCACTTTGACACCATCAATCACATGTTCCGTATTAAATTCCAAAGGGTGGATATACCTGTACAAATAAATATATATATATAAAAAAAAAACACACACACACACATAAGGTAATCCCTTCACAGAAATGCAATGTGAAAAACATCATCAAGTGCAGAGTCTTATTTGTAAGTTCATGTAATTGAGCAATCTACAAACAGAGCAAAGGAGACATGGGAGTTTCGGAGTTCTTACAAAGGATTTACCGATAGACACATTTGAACAAGCCGTCCCGTGAGAGGAGAGCAATAGATAGGGCCATGAGACCATTTCTTGCTAAGGCCACCATAGTGATCGCAATGGAAATGACTAAGAAAATACGCTGAACACCCTTCAANGTTCAGCTCGTGCAGATGCAGGCAATGGCTAAACCCTTTCACTCGCAGATCTGGTATCGCGTTCACGCTGCAAAAACCATTTGTACATGCGTCTGTCCCCTCACCAGCTTGCCAAATTAATTATGGTGGACAACTATACGTTTCAAATTCAAATTCAACTACACATTTCAAATTCAAATTGTTATCTTCTATCAAACAATTCAAATTAAATATTCTATTTCCTTTTTTTTTCTGACTAATATCTCTTCAAAATCAAGCACGTCAGTCAAATTCAAACCGTCATGCTCTTCAGCGTTCATAAGTGGTACTCCATGAAATTCCTTTTTCTGGTTGCTTTCTTTCTTCTCCGGTGCTTCCATGGAGGAGCGACTTCCTTTGGTTCTCGCTGGTGGAGATGTGAAAGCTTCTTCGTTCTTGCTCTCCTCAGGCAGACGTTTCATTTCTGGGATTTCAGTCTTCCAATTTAGGGTTTTATTCACATCCCTTCTAATTTTCCAAATTCCCCCAAATAATTAAAACGGTCTTCACTTAATTAAAACGCAACGTTTTTATTTGTTAACTGTTTTTTACTTAAACATTGCGTTTTGAATCATTTTATTTCAATAAAATTTAATTTGTAAATCAATTTTAACTCAACTGACCATACATTGCCACGTCAGTTGATCATACACTGTCCTGTCAGTAATGTCACCATGTCACGCATACTCAATTTTAAAGCCGTCTACTCAAATTAACGACAAACCCTTAATTGATCTAATTTTTCACATTTAGAGACTTAATTGAGAGATTTTACAATACGAGGACTTAATTGAGAAAACCTTGCAGAAATAGAGATATTCTAAATGATTAAACCTATTTTAAAATATCCTACACCCCCATTTCTTTTCTTCAACGGATCTGCCACATCTGTTAATGGATGTGGCCACATCTGTTGAGGATTTCATTTTTCTTTTTAGTTTTTAGTTTATTAATTTATTGTATTTTAAATTAATATATAAATAATATTTAATTTTTTTTAAATTTATTACGTAATTATATATAAATTAATTTTATTTAATAAAATCATTATTATTAATTTAATTTATTTATTATTATTTAAATAATTATTTAAATATTTTTTATAAATCTACTTAAACGGATGTACGGATGTGGCGACATTCGTTGAGTTTTTTTTTTGTTTTTTTTTATTTTAGTTTTAAATTTATTAATTTATTGTATTTTAAAATTTATGTATAAATATTATTTAATCTTTTTTTAAATTTATTACCTAATTATATATAAATTAATTTTATTTTATTTAATAAAATAATTATTATTATTTAAATAACTATTTAAATATTTTTTATAAATCTACTTAAAAGGATGTGTCACATACGGATATGGTGATATCTGTTAAGGTTTTTTTGTTTTTTTTAGTTTTTAGTTTATTAATTTATTGTATTTTAAATTAATATATAAATATTATTGATTTTTTTAAAATTTATTATGTAATTATATATAAATGAATTTTATTTTATTTAATAAAATAATTATTATTAATTTAATTTATATATTATTATTTAATAAATTAGTTAAATAATTTTTATAAAATTACTTAAACAAAAGTGGTCACATCCGTTAAGATTATTTTTTTTTAAATAAAAGCAATAAACTAAAATATAAAATATATAAATAGATATCAAGATCCGTTGAAGATGAAACGAATGTTGACATCTATTTTATAACAAGGATAAATTAGTTATGGAATAGTGCAGGTAATATTTGGTGGTAATAGAGGAAGCAATAGTCTTCTAACTATTATAAGAAAATAATATTTCCATCTCCACACTCCAAAAATATATGGTTGGCCCTAATTCTTGGGTGGTGTTAAAATAAAAAGAAAAAGATAAATCCCTACTATGTCAAAGACATAAGCTTATATATTTATAAATAAAAAATCCAAAAAAAATAATTAAGCATGTTACATTTAAATTAATCACAAAATTATATTTAACAATGTCTAATATATTTTAATCATATCTACATGTAGATTATTTCTCAAAATACAATCAGATTTGGTCAATCACATGCACAGCTTTAGCGAAAGTTATACTAGTCAATCCAACCGCATAGAGATACAACATTTACTTCTTTTGTATTTGTTCAACAATGTTCAAATTGGGCATTGCTAAAGTACTCTTCAGAAAATATCAGAATGTATGGCATCTCATTTTATTCTGGTCCTACTTTGGTTGTCATAAAGTTGATGAATGCCCTGCATTGCATCCAAATTTAGTAGCAGCAATAAATGGGAAGTACACCGGAGCTTAAACTGAAACAAGCAGAAAAACACATGTTGCACTACAATTTGAGAAAGTATGTAATCCAATCTATTATAATTGTAAAAAAAACTGACATATACCTTCTACAAGCAGCAATAAATGTAGAGACCTGAAATAAATACTTAAATCCCATCTAGAAATAGCAGTGAATAAGAGACTTCAGCACCTCAGCCAGTCTCGGAAATAGGATTGCATCTTTTCTCGATTAGCAGCATTCCCAACATTCACAGTTGGAATGATCTTGTCAGGTCTCAAAAACTGTGAAGATAAAGATAAATTCACTCAAAAAGGAGAACTAAACAATGCATTTTTGTCAAAATCATTAAATAAATTAACATGTCTCGGTGAAAGTAATCACAATATTCAGTTCCAGACCTGAACAAAATCTCGCAGTTCTGTATAGCTGGAATGCTCACTGTAGGGANTTTATATATATATATATATATATATTAAAAATAATTAAAATTTTGTAATAAAATCAAATCTATTAGGAGAGGACTTTGTGGGTTGCAATTTCTTTTGACCCCAACTAAAAGAACTTCCTAAAAAGAATTTTTTCAAAAATAGATTAAAATTGATCATAAACCATGAGTTAAATTGACCCCTTTATAGATCATTATGTAATAAACACATAAATCTACACTTTCATATATTAATTTTTTTAAAGAAAATTAATTTTTCTTCTAATAAATGCATAGCTTTACAAGAAAACAACTTTTAAAGAGGAAGAAAACGCTAATAGCATAGTATTTTGACTGAGGGTTACTCCCTACACCATACTACATTCCTCTTTACACCACCACATTTTTTTAAAATTTCAAAACTATCCTTTATATTTTAAAGGTTTAATCATTTAGAACATCCTTATTTTTGTAGGGTTTTCTCAATTAGGTCCTTGTATTGTAAAATCTCTCAATTAAGTCCCTGAATGTGAAAAATTGGATCAATTAAGGGCTTGTCGTTAATTTGAATGGACGGCGTTAAAATTGAGCGTGCGTGGCAGGATGACATTACTGACGTGGCAGTGTACGGTTTACTGAGTTGGATTTGTTTGATTTACAAATTAAATTTTATTGAAATAAAATGATTCAAAACACAACGTTTAAATAAAAAACAATTAACAAATGATTAAACATTTCCTAAATCAGACTCCATTTAGAACCCTAATTTATAATTTGCAGAGAACCCTAAATAAGTTATCTTTGTATCGCATATGGTTTCTGCCAGCATTCTTGGTTTTTATCATAACTAGAATCCTTTTGAAACCCTAAATTTGAGAAATGGCACCTTTTTTTTGAACCGTAAGAAAATTCTCAATTTTCTAGGTTTCCTTCTTCTATGTGTGGGAGAACCACATCGAGAAGCTTCTTCTTTTCCCAGGTTCAGCTCGTGCAGATGCAGGCAATGGCAAAACTCTTTCACTCGCAGATCTGGTATCGCGTTCACGCTGCAAAAACCATTTGTACATGCGTCTGTCCCCTCACCAGCTTGCCAAATTAATTATGGTGGACAACTATACGTTTCAAATTCAAATTGAACTATACATTTCAAATTCAAATTGTTATTTTCTATCAAACAATTCAAATTAAATATTCTGTTTCCTTTTTTTTCTGACTAATATCTCTTCAAAATCAAGCACGTCAGTCAAATTCAAACCGTCATGCTCTTCAGCGTTCATAAGTGGTACTCCATGAAATTCCTTTTTCTGGTTGCTTTCTTTCTTCTCCGGTGCTTCCATGGAGGAGCGACTTCCTTTGGTTCTCGCTGGTGGAGATGTGAAAGCTTCTTCGTTCTTGCTCTCCTCAGGCAGACGTTTCATTTCTGGGATTTCAGTCTTCCAATTTAGGGTTTTATTCACATCCCTTCTAATTTTCCAAATTCCCCCAAATAATTAAAACGGTCTTCACTTAATTAAAACGCAACGTTTTTATTTGTTAACTGTTTTTTACTTAAACATTGCGTTTTGAATCATTTTATTTCAATAAAATTTAATTTGTAAATCAATTTTAACTCAACTGACCATACATTGCCACGTCAGTTGATCATACACTGTCCTGTCAGTAATGTCACCATGTCACGCATACTCAATTTTAAAGCCGTCTACTCAAATTAACGACAAACCCTTAATTGATCTAATTTTTCACATTTAGAGACTTAATTGAGAGATTTTACAATACGAGGACTTAATTGAGAAAACCTTGCAGAAATAGAGATATTCTAAATGATTAAACCTATTTTAAAATATCCTACACCCCCATTTCTTTTCTTCAACGGATCTGCCACATCTGTTAATGGATGTGGCCACATCTGTTGAGGATTTCATTTTTCTTTTTAGTTTTTAGTTTATTAATTTATTGTATTTTAAATTAATATATAAATAATATTTAATTTTTTTTAAATTTATTACGTAATTATATATAAATTAATTTTATTTAATAAAATCATTATTATTAATTTAATTATTTATTATTATTTAAATAATTATTTAAATATTTTTTATAAATCTACTTAAACGGATGTACGGATGTGGCGACATTCGTTGAGTTTTTTTTTTGTTTTTTTTTATTTTAGTTTTAAATTTATTAATTTATTGTATTTTAAAATTTATGTATAAATATTATTTAATCTTTTTTTAAATTTATTACCTAATTATATATAAATTAATTTTATTTTATTTAATAAAATAATTATTATTATTTAAATAACTATTTAAATATTTTTTATAAATCTACTTAAAAGGATGTGTCACATACGGATATGGTGATATCTGTTAAGGTTTTTTTGTTTTTTTTAGTTTTTAGTTTATTAATTTATTGTATTTTAAATTAATATATAAATATTATTGATTTTTTTAAAATTTATTATGTAATTATATATAAATGAATTTTATTTTATTTAATAAAATAATTATTATTAATTTAATTTATATATTATTATTTAATAAATTAGTTAAATAATTTTTATAAAATTACTTAAACAAAAGTGGTCACATCCGTTAAGATTATTTTTTTTTAAATAAAAGCAATAAACTAAAATATAAAATATATAAATAGATATCAAGATCCGTTGAAGATGAAACGAATGTTGACATCTATTTTATAACAAGGATAAATTAGTTATGGAATAGTGCAGGTAATATTTGGTGGTAATAGAGGAAGCAATAGTCTTCTAACTATTATAAGAAAATAATATTTCCATCTCCACACTCCAAAAATATATGGTTGGCCCTAATTCTTGGGTGGTGTTAAAATAAAAAGAAAAAGATAAATCCCTACTATGTCAAAGACATAAGCTTATATATTTATAAATAAAAAATCCAAAAAAAATAATTAAGCATGTTACATTTAAATTAATCACAAAATTATATTTAACAATGTCTAATATATTTTAATCATATCTACATGTAGATTATTTCCCAAAATACAATCAGATTTGGTCAATCACATGCACAGCTTTAGCGAAAGTTATACTAGTCAATCCAACCGCATAGAGATACAACATTTACTTCTTTTGTATTTGTTCAACAATGTTCAAATTGGGCATTGCTAAAGTACTCTTCAGAAAATATCAGAATGTATGGCATCTCATTTTATTCTGGTCCTACTTTGGTTGTCATAAAGTTGATGAATGCCCTGCATTGCATCCAAATTTAGTAGCAGCAATAAATGGGAAGTACACCGGAGCTTAAACTGAAACAAGCAGAAAAACACATGTTGCACTACAATTTGAGAAAGTATGTAATCCAATCTATTATAATTGTAAAAAAAACTGACATATACCTTCTACAAGCAGCAATAAATGTAGAGACCTGAAATAAATACTTAAATCCCATCTAGAAATAGCAGTGAATAAGAGACTTCAGCACCTCAGCCAGTCTCGGAAATAGGATTGCATCTTTTCTCGATTAGCAGCATTCCCAACATTCACAGTTGGAATGATCTTGTCAGGTCTCAAAAACTGTGAAGATAAAGATAAATTCACTCAAAAAGGAGAACTAAACAATGCATTTTTGTCAAAATCATTAAATAAATTAACATGTCTCGGTGAAAGTAATCACAATATTCAGTTCCAGACCTGAACAAAATCTCGCAGTTCTGTATAGCTGGAATGCTCACTGTAGGGAACTCCTGGAAGAAGAAACGGGACTTGTGAAGTGTGCTGCAATGGTGGATAAATAACTTGCTACTTCCATACCTTTTAAGAATTAGTTTTTAATAATTTGTTTCTTATTTATCAATTTAAAATTCAAAACAAAATTAATCATCTTGTTGCATATAACTTTACCTTCCTTCCCCTAGTTTTAAGTACACATTTATCACGGAGTTAAAGGAAGAGAAGAGGAAAATATTAAATGAGGGAATGAATGAATTAATAATACAAGTAAAATAAAAAATTAATAGCAATTTTGATAAGAATGACAACGTCAATTATATTTCTTAAGTAACAGACATGAACAAAATTTTAAAGGCCTGTTTGACATCCAATGACTACTACTGAGCATTTCAGCATCTCAAATCATATCGTTACTAAAGAAACACTATACCCGGTCCACAACACTTCAGTCCAGTGCATTTTCAATACAAATAAGTACTAATTACACTTCATATTTTATAGCAACCGAAATGCAGTTAATCTTACCATAAATCGTGATATTTCCTTTGGTAACAGGTTTAATTAGTTCCAGATCGTTGCTTATCTTTTCATTGAAAGTCCAACCTAAAATTTTGAAGGAAGAAGTATAAGACACTTAATTAAGCGGCACAAATATCTTCTCTGTTGACAACTTAAAATACCAAGATGATTCGGAGGTCAATGTTATCACAAGTATTTGTAAAATACCTGTTGGACGGAACGCCAAAACTTCTGTGAATTGATCCTTGTATGTCTTCAAGTAATCTTTTAAGGTCTAAAGTAACAAGTAAAAACATGATGGTGAATTATGATATACAAAACAAAATTTTAAGAGGGCGGCGCAAAACTAAACCTCAGGTCTCAAAGATGACATGGGCAGGACATGGAGAAGCGTGTTCTTTCCTATTGTACAGAGTCTATCTGAAAGGTCGGACCAATCAAAAGCTTGTAAAATCCGTCTTCTTGAAGCATTGGCATAAATTTTTACCTGAATCATAAAAAAATGCATAGATATTGCGTCACTGGATCAAACAACCTAAGAGGAGACAACATGGCAACTTAAAGCTACTTTTATCAATTCAGGGCAGAAAACAGTCTAAACCCATGAAGAGGAACCTCATAAATCTACCACAAAGTGCCATAATTGTTGTTTGCCAATAATGCAAGGTTGGAAACACATTTACGCAAAAATTTTGACATTGCAGAAGGATGAAAAAAAAAACAAGCGAAAACTTCAAAATCATCAATAATATCGATTAGATCGTCATGAAGACAAACCAATCGCTCAGGTACCAATATATGATAGGTCTGAACTCTGAAGGATTAAAGAAATAAAGTGAAAACTTCAAAACCATCAGCTATATCTAGATTAGATCGTCATAAAGAAAAACAATCCCTTAGTTATCAATATATGCTTTTGATTTCGTAGCACAACCCTTCTTGTCAACAACAAGGACAATTGAAAAAAAAAACCAAAACCAGTCCAAATAGAAGTCTGCCCCGGAAAAACACATACCCCAAGAGCTTTAGAAATTGCAAGATATACACATTCTTTGCCAATACTGTAAGCCCCAACGACCACTAAAGTTCTCTGATGAATTTTGAGATGGTTCTTTGTAATTTTGACAACATAATTTAGTACATCTTCCTTGGAAGGGAACCTGAACCAGAAATTTTTTAACAATCAGTCGAGATTAGTAAAACCAATTATTACATATCATAACCAAATTACAAGACCTGTACATAAACCAGAACTTACCTGTACTTTGGATTGCAATATGTAGTATCCAAATAAAGTACATTTACACGTTGATTTACAAGAAGACGGTAAGCTTGCATTGGTTTACACGCTCTAAAGTCCCCAGTGTGCAAATAACGTTGGTCATTTGGGAGGCTAAAGTGAATCAAAGCCGCACCAGGGCAATGATTAGCTTCTAAAAAAGTCACTTTGACACCATCAATCACATGTTCCGTATTAAATTCCAAAGGGTGGATATACCTGTACAAATAAATATATATATATAAAAAAAAAACACACACACACACATAAGGTAATCCCTTCACAGAAATGCAATGTGAAAAACATCATCAAGTGCAGAGTCTTATTTGTAAGTTCATGTAATTGAGCAATCTACAAACAGAGCAAAGGAGACATGGGAGTTTCGGAGTTCTTACAAAGGATTTACCGATAGACACATTTGAACAAGCCGTCCCGTGAGAGGAGAGCAATAGATAGGGCCATGAGACCATTTCTTGCTAAGGCCACCATAGTGATCGCAATGGAAATGACTAAGAAAATACGCTGAACACCCTTCAAGAGACCCATACCGAAAAGCATCAACAGTGAATGTTGTCCCTGCATTTGCAAATAAAGTATGTTCATTTAGAACATTTCATGTTTTCTAATTTTCATAACAAAATCTCAGGACAAACGTCCAAGATGGAACTATTGCCAAACTAATTTTTCAATTAATTTGTTTCATCAGTCTCTTGGACTAAAGCAAATTGCAGTTTCGGATGTACTTGTTCCATTAAGTCAGTTCCCTGACTCGACTTGAATTAGTGGAGTTATGATAAAAATTTCACCTGGGATTTTCTTATAAAAGGGACATGAACGTGTAACCCTATTTTCACCACTGAAACACTTTCTCTTGCGGAGAGATTTCGTGTCCTCGGACTCTTTTTCTCCGTCGCGCGAAATCGAACCCCAATTTCCAGGTTTCACAATCTTCCTTTCAGAAGAACTACCTCCTTTATCAGAATAAACACTCAAACTCGGTCCAGATTCAACTAAACCAACGACGTCGCTTCTTTTGAAACCCCAAATCTGGAACAGGTTGGCCTGCTTCATCTTCTTCCCTGAATCGCCCTCGAAATCGGAGTGTCTATTATTTTTATCATCCTGCATCATCAGCGAGGACCAATCGGTTCCGCAACGATAGAAATCAGCGGTGAAACTGCTCTTTTCCGACGGCGTTTCCGATCCTGGGAGTTGCGACGGAAAACTCTCGTCGTCCAGTGAAACGACGCCGAACGAAGCACTATCATCATCGTTAAGGTCGTAACCGTCGCCGTCGTGAGGTAACGGTTCTTCTCCTAAGGAAGGTGGTGGTGATGCGTCGGTGGATAGCGCCATCGCTTTCGTTACGGCGCGTAAATGGTCGAAATTAAATGCTATTTGGTTTTTTAAAATGATACCGCGGGAAATTAAGGA